TCTCCCACTAATTGTCTGGTGAACCATCTGCCTTTGTGTTGGCAGTGCAACTTTTTATTCACTAGGCTGCTGGATGGGGAGAACAGAGATGGTGATCTATCAAAAGGAAAAGTGACCTTACTCCAGAACAACTTTTAGCCATTTAACATTGGTGATAGAAAATATGATTTTGAGTTGCACAAATTGGATTCTAAATAGGTGTTCTGTCTAGTGGGGTAGCCTGAGGGCAGCTTTCTTATACTTATCATGCCTCATCTTCCTGTACATAGAAGAAAAATACACAGCATCCCAGAACATAATGTCATTAGGAGAACTACACAATAAAATACATTAAACCATTACTGAAAGCATTGTCACATAACTGCAATGATTGCTACGTAAGTGATAAAAATGTTGATGATTGCAGCTTGAGGTAGTCATCCATTAGACGATTGGCCAAATTATTTAACCTGAAAGAAATTAATCATTTAAACAATAATGAGAGTTTTACTTGAATTAATGGGACAATTTACCTCAATTTTCCAATTCACTTCACAGACTAAGACTGGTAAGAGTCAAAGGACTTACTTCTTAAGGCTATTTCTAGTGTTAAAACCAAATGAGTGAAAACAGCCACTTCAACTCTGAGCCCTTTTAATAATTATTTCTATAAATTGTGTTGCTTGTTGCCTTAATGTTATGCATTTGCTCTACCTTTAAGAAACCAATGTTTGTCACTTTGGGATCCATTAACTTCAAAAGTTATTATTTTCATCAGTATTGGAAAAGTAATCACATCAAAAGCCTTTTGTGATTCAGGCTGAAGAAAAGGTTCTGCACTATTTGGGTGCTTGTTGGTTTATATCAGTGATTTGCACATTCCTTTAGTGGTAGGATTTATAAAAGTAATCACAAGCATGGGTTAGCTGTTCAGAGGAAAGGCTGGGAGTCTGGCGTGGGGGTGGTAGAAATCCTTATGGATTCAAGTCTGTTATCACCAGACTTGAGGTCTCAAATCGGCCCAATCAACAATCTAAAGTGCTGCTCCTTGCTACCATGAATAAAAGAAGCAGAAACCCTCAGTTGCCCCCAGTGATTATATCACACACATAGAAAAATTTTCCCATTTCCTTTTGGCCATGAGAATTATTATTCTCTTATTCCCTTAGTTTGAAAGAATGAAGAATTGCATGGCATGTTTTTATATATTTCATTTTATTTTAATGTAGCCAGTCTCTACTTTTCTCCCTAGCTAGAGTAACGTTAATGTGTTAACATTTCAAACTGCTGAGTTACATTGATAAGACCTAATTAAAACTCATGTGTTGAATTTTAATTTGATTAACTTGCAAATTTTGCAGTTTATGATCTACTGTTTATAGATAACCTTTTTTTAAAATTCCAGTTGGAGAAAAGGTCAATTATGAATTTTTAAAAGCAAGAGCATTTAAAAATATTTAGGAAGACTCTGCTCATCAATAGTGGCACAAAGGGACAAATGTAAGGACACTGGCACTCGGGTCACATGCTATTAGTTAAGTGCACTAGGAGAGCCAAGCATCTTTAGACTCAAAATGTCATTTTCTTTCATAGATTGCCTTATGAAGAATCTGTTTCTCTTCAAAAATTGTGCTTTTAGAAGTGTCAGTCCCAATAATTTCACTTTAACTATACTAATGCCTTGTTGTTGATGTTAAGTGCTGTTTAGTTGTAGGCAGCTCATAATGACCCTGTGAATGAAAGACCTGAACTTTTGCATGACTTTCATTGTTTCTTCAGGTTCATAGGGTTTCTGTAGTGGATACCACTCCTGCTTCCAAGCTTGTTTTAATCAGGGAGCTCCACCAAATACTGTTCACCATGGGTAACCATTATCACATTTGACACATCAGTGTCACAGTGTTCAGCATCACAGCAACCACAAGTTACCTCTGTACAGCAAGTGGACAGACCAGGGCTATACGACCTAGAAGAATATTTGGCCGAAAACAATTAAAACCAGGCCTAAGGGAGGAAAAATATTTTAAACAGTTTATTTAAAAATATGCATTGAGCTTCCAGGATGCTATAAATTCTATCCTAAGGACTCTTATAAAGAAATCAGAGCTAAGAGTGAGGTAGTTATTCATATGCTGAATTATACAATAAAATATCAAGTGCTAAAGTTGACAGACAAGTACACACCCTTTAATGCACACATAAACTCTTTGGGATGATGAAAAGTACATTGCGTTCCACCTGAAAACTTCCACTTGGGAAGCAGAGGTCTGGAAGTTGCTTGGTTTTAATATTCTTTTTACCAGAGTAGCCTCCAGTGAATGCTTTAAATTATATCCCTTTATCACCTGACAGAACTGGGGAAATCACAACTAGCTCTTTTGCATGAGGACAAATGAATATCGGACAATATGAATTTATCAGAAAAATAGATTTACATTTAATTTCTGAAAATCCAAATGTATTTCATAGGATGTGGAATGCTGTCTTGCTATTAATTCAATATTGCAAATTTGAGTTTATATCAGTGCTTTGCATATCACCATATTTCTAAATAGTGTCTTAATGTGGCCCTCAGCCAGGTTAAAATTGTTTTCCTGTCAAACATTCTTCTAGGTGGTATAGCAATGGTCTGTGCATTGCTGTACAGAGGTAACTCGTGGTTGCGCTGATGCTGAAGACTGTGACAGTGATGTGCCAATCGTGGTAATGGGTACCCATGGTGGACAGTGCTGGCTGGAGCTTCCTGACTAAATCAAGCCTGGAAGCAGGAGCGGCATCCACTTATGAAATGGCTCGCCTCCGCAAACTCTATGTACGAACAGGGCTCAGGCCGTTCGTTCATAGGGTCGCTATGAGTCGTCTACGACTCGATGGCATCAAACAACAACGTTTTCAAAGCATAATGTTATAAATACATTGGCTTTAGTATTTATACCAGTTTGATATTTCAAAATGCATTATCACTTATATGTATCTATGTATATACAGAGACATGGACACCTGTGTATACACACACATATAGACATTCATATACTATATATTGTCACAAATGTGCACATGAACATGGCTCTCCACTGCTAAGATGTAGTATCTGGGCAATGAATAGTCCAAAGACACCTTTATTTAATTATGGAAAGTACTCCTTTTGGGGGGCAGGTGAAGGCCAACACCAGGAAGCATACATAGCCTGGTTGTCAGCACTTGGGGGTCCAGCAGCTCTTGTCTCACTGGAATAGGGGTCACTGTGCACTGTGCAACCTGCAGTTATGCTCTTGATCCCCTCTTCTACAATGGCCAAGAATAACTTTAGCAGAGGTGGCTTTAAATCATATTTATACAGCTTATTTATTTGTTAGGTGACATTGGGAAATTAATTAAATTGTCTAGTCCTTGATATTAATTAAATGGAATAAAAGCAATTGTGTAACACAAGTAAAAAAACTAGCACAATCCCCAGCATACATGTGTGTAAATTCTGATCATACTAGTTCTTGTCTTTAAGTGGCAACTAACAAATATTCTAGAGCACAGATAGGGAAGTTAAAGGCAGCAATGTTAATACCAGGAATTCCATTCCTGTTTATTTTCGTTTACTTTTAGATATGCTTGTGTGTGATTTTATTTGTTATCTAATATAAATCTTTTGCTATTCCTGTAGTGTTATCTGAGGAAAACCTAAACAGTACAGCAGGAATTTGATGCACATCAGTGACAGAACATGGGCCAGCCCCATATTGCTGACCTTAAAACCATGAAATCCCTGTTAGACCTCAGCTGCCACAGCCTGACTCCAGACAACCCACACACATTAGAGTTTCAGAATTTAGGGCGCAGTTCTTCTGTATTATTTTACTTGCTCATGAGAAAAGCTGGAAATCTGAAAGTGATATTCTCTGGGCTTCCTTTTTGGAGAATGCTTAGATCCTGGACAAAGGAGATGGAGATGCTGAAGGACTTACTCACTTGCTCCTGTCCTTAAAACAGGTTACACAGGGTCTGTGAGATGCAGGGAGGTGACGGCAAATGTTTCACTCAGGGCAAGATACATACAAGATGTATAACGCATGGTTCTTCCTTTTCTACCTCATTTTAACTGATAGCTCTTGAGAACCTACCTTTTCTTCCTAAGCCATTATTTTGTGCTATCTCACCTCCACTACCTATATATTCAGAGGCTCTAAGGGTTACATAGTCATCACAGGATCTCTATGCGGAAATGGTGGAGGACTGAGAATAGGCAAACTATCCTTGTAAATGCCCTAAGCACTTGATTCTTATTTGACATCTAACTGTGGACTCCTTCATTAATACCTATAGAACTTCCTGCTTCATTCCACTTGGGTGTCCAGATAATGCTTGAAATTCCTCTCCATCTCAGTGACAGAAGGCTTCCCCTCACCCTTTCCCCTTCCTCTGAAAGGATTTCAGTGTTGAAAGAGGTGCATTAAAAAAAAAAATAAAAAAATAAAAAAAATTAAAAAAAAAAAGAAAGAGGTGCATTATTTAATCCGGTTAAAGTTTGCAGAGACCAAATATAAAAATTGTCAAGAATATATTCTTTTTTTAAAATTTTTTTTTTTTTTATTTATTTTTTTTTACAGAGGTTTTGGATTTCCATTCATTCATTGCTGCAATTTTCTCCCTGCCCACCCCTCCCCACCAGCTCGCATCCCCCTCCAAAGAGAGAAAAAAAAATAAAAGAAAGAAAATTCCTTCATTAGTATACAATTCCCACAAACATATTATTGAAGCCACAGAGAAGTTCTGACACTGTCCGTATGAAGCCATCTTTGGATCGATGTGAGGTTTTCATACATGAGGGTAGAGGAAGAAGGAATTTGGAGACCTTACCTGCTTGTATTTTGGCAATTCATGGAGTGGAGAAGCTTTATTTCCCAGCAAGGCAGAACTACCATGACCCTTGTGTGTGGCTGACTTTGCTGTTTACAAGGGGCAAAGTCACCTGAAAGTCTGGAGTTTCTTTGTTTCTCTTAGTCACACTTTGTCTGTAACCCACACAGGCCATCATGGCACAGCTACCACAGGAGGAGAAGGCAAAAATAGCTGAGCAGGTGGAGATTTTCCACCAAGAGAAGAGCAAGCTGGATGCTGAAGTCGCCAAATGGGATGATAGTGGCAATGACATCATTGTGCTGGCCAAGCAGATGTGCATGATAATGATGGAGATGACGGACTTTACCAGGTGAGACTCAGGAGCTGAAACCTTTCTCTTTGAAGCTGCAAGTGTAGTAGAGTGTGTTAACATGTGCAAGTGAATGGAAAGGACTATAAAGTGCTGTCATAATGCTTGGTGGTGGTATTAGAAAATCTATACCTATAAGGACAGAGTCTAGATCTAATTTTGAGCAAGTATGTAATTTTGGTTAGGGAGATCTGGTGGCTGAATAATAAGAAACTGTGCCACAATTCCAAAGGCAAGAGATTTGAATCTACTAGCTGCTCAGTGAGAGAAAGATGGCAATCTCCTCCCATGAATTTAATTTACTGCCTCTGAAAACCCACGGGAGGGTCAGCTCTGGATCAGTTCCAGCTCAGTGCACACAACAACAACAGCAAGTCATTTTGGTCAGGAGAACAAGTTGATTTTTGCTATCAGGTCAACTCCAATTCATCATGACTTTATATCTGTCCTGTGCCATTTTGATGGTTGCTGAAATGTTTGAGACATTTTTGCACCTTCTACTGTTTTAATTAATTAATTCACTTTTAAGAAAAAAATAGTTATGTTGGAGTAAGTTCCTCAAAGGCAAGGATAGTGACATTTCATCTCTCATGCGTTAAGCATGTTATTGTGGGGTACCAGTCTTTGGAGGGGAAAAGCAAAAACATAAATAGATTCAAGATAAATAGAGTCAGCCAAAGAAAGACAGACCCTTAATGAGATGAATTGACATAGCAACTTGAACCAATGAACTTGAGTGTCTTGGAGACGGTGAAGATGGTGCAGGATAGGTCAAGGTCATGATCTGTTGTTCAAAGGGTCGCTGTGAGTTGTAATTGACTTGATGACACCCAGCAACAACAACAACAACAATGATAATTTATTTTAATTTCCTATATATATAATAATATTACTTTATTTTAATTATGGATCTTGCTCCTAAAATAAAATTATAAGGAAAGAATAACTGATCTTTGATTTGTAGTCTTATGAGTGAAAATTATTTTAAAGGTGAAATATCAGTTAACATTCCTTTGGAAGAGTATATATTTACACATAAGACAGTTGTTGTATACATTTATACTAACTGTTAACCTAGGATTGATTTTTGCTCAAGCAATAAGATTGATTTACACTCAATAAGATTCAGCAACCCACCTTTTTCTATACTTTTGACTGGAAAACAAACATTGTGTAAGTTTTAGTTATTCTCTTTGAGAAGCTTGTCAGGGTTTTTAAAATTTATTTTTATTTTGTCTGTGGAGTGTTCTGAGAAGCATTTTTGAAAAATCAAGAAACTCATCAATATTTTGTCAGGATCCTTTCTTTCCCAGGGGATTATAGCTTTTTCTGTGGTTATATTTTGGTATTTTTATAGTGTGTGTGATATCTTGTCCTTTTTACTACACAAAGGGCAAACCAAGGGAGAGTGAAGCTGAATTAAAAGATTTCTGGATATTAGAACATCAGGTGTTTTGGGACAACTATTTTATTTTCTCTGCCCTTTTATTTGCAAGGAAAATGATAAGTTGTTTTGTTAATTTTACCAGGGAACTTAAAAATCTAGATATAATGCAAGTATAAAATGATGCTAATACATAAGTGTAACCTATAACTTAATTGTACGTATTTATTTTTACTGGGAATCACAGAGAAGCATACAGTCACAAAGAAACACACTCACAGAGATAATCGGGGGTATAGCTCAGTGGTAGATCACAGGACTGCAAATATTATAGTATTTTAATGATTCAAAATTATGTACTGTTAGTGGGAACTGACTCAAAGCTGACCATTAAGCAGGTTGTCAGAGGCTGTAAATTGAAAGGAAGCAGATTCCCCATCTTTCCCTTTCCAAGTATCTAGTGGATGTCAACCAAGTTACTTTGGTGTGGCAGTGCTGCTTCTCTCCACAAAGACACCAGAGCTTCCTAATGATTCAAAGTAAGATTTGTAATTAAACCAGCTGAGCTGCAGTCCCAAAGGCAGGTGGTTCTAATCCATCAGTTGTTCTCCTGGAGGAGAATGGGCAATTTCCTCTATTACAATTTTACTGCCTCTGGAAACCTGCTGAAGGGTCACCCATGTGTGGATTCTGACTTGACAACACAACAACATATAAGATATTTGACAATATTAAGGCAATATTTTACAGGGTACAGGTTGTATTTGTTTGTTTGGTTTTAATAGTTCCTGCATGAGTCTCATAAGAATAGACTGGAACTAATTATATTGTTAAGTGCAAACTGGTTGAGTACGACTCCTAGTGACCTTAGGAAAACCATATGTAAACCCTGTCCAAGCCCTATCTTGTGCATCTTCATAATCTCTGACACACTTGAGTACATTTCTACAGTCACTGTGTCAACCCATCTCATTGAGGGAACTAATTATAGGTGATAATAAAACATAAAGCATCTCTGGCTCATACTCTTTACCCTAGAAAAAGATATATTAATGACATTGCTTGGCTCTTTCTCCAGATATCTATCTATCTATCATTATTTCAGTGGAATGACTTTAAGTGTTATGAGGGCACTGTACTGTTGCTTTTTAAGACTTTTAAATGTTATCACGTTCATAAAAAGTTCAAATACTACATTAGCTTAGTCTTTGTCTCCTTCATCAATTTCCTTCATGTATACAATAAGGTTGGTAAAACTACAGCCATTATTTAAGTCTGAATTTCCCAAAGATGATGCTATTATAGCCGCCTCACTCACAGATGTTCAAGATTGGTGATGACTTAATTTGCTTACTTTCAACGTTTTATTAGTACTTTATCTAATGAATATTATTCAACCCATTAATTACATCTCTTGAACAAATAATCTCATTTGTTTAGAGTGAATAATGAATCTGGTCATGATGCAAATTCAAGTCAAAAGCATTATTTTATAATGTTCTATATTATATATAACCATGGTCAAGGAAGAAAGATATATTAATGCAATATTATTAGACAGCATTAGGTGAGAAAGACTTTCTATTATTTAAAGTATAGTTTTAACAGTGAAAAGAAGGCAACTTCAATTTTCTAGGGATTTTGTATAGGTAATCACCTTTCTCTGATTTGAGTAATGAAATGTCATGGATTAGAATTTTTACTCACTATTTGATTTATGGGTTTTTACCCTTTTGTGAGGACAAAGCATGAATGACTGTAATTAATGAGCAGAGAACCAGAAGAAAGAGTAAATTAGAAATGGTATTTAGGGCGCCTCAGTTTTGCTGATGCTTCCAACAATGGAAACTGTTTTTCTCCAAAGAGCTGGTTTGCACCTTTCTTTGTGAACTCTGCCCAAGATCACCTCACTTGATCACATATGTTATTGTTGTTGATGTTATTGTTCAGTGCAGTTGAGTCAATTACAACTCAAAGTGACTCTATGATCAACAGATCAGAATCTCGCTTTTTTACTTTTTTTTTTTTTTTAACATCTCTGCCATGTCTGAACCCATTGTTACAGTCACTTTGTCTATCCATCTCTTTAGAGGTTACCCTTTCTTTTGGTGACCCTCTACCTATCCCAGCATGATATCTCTATCCAAGAAGGACATCTCTTGATAACATGCCCCAAACATGTGAGATGAAGTTTTACCATCCTTGACTCTAAGAGCACTCTTGTACTTTCCCAAGAAAAGTTGTTTCTTCTTTTGACAGTGTATAAAATACTTAGCATGCATTGACAACATCATAATTTTAAAATATTGTATTCAATGAATTTTGTATTCATTCTTCTTTCGTCTTCTTTAGTGTCCAACTTTCAGAGGTATATGAAGCAATTAAAAAAAAAAACCAAAAAACAACAGCCCACTATGGCTTGCAGCAGGTACATCTTAGACTTTAAACCAACATCCCTGTTCTTTATCACTTCTGAGATTTCCTTGACAGCAGATTTTTCCAGTGCAACATTCCTTTTGATTTCTTGACTGCTGCTACCATGGCTGTTGATTATATACACAGATAAAATTAAGTTGTTAGCAGCATCAAATCTTTTCTCTCAGTATCATGACATTGCCTATTGGTCTAGTTGTGAAGATTTTGCTTTTCTTGATGATAAAATGTAACCCATATTATAGATTATAGTTTTTTGTCTTCTTTAGGTAGTGCTTCATATCATCTTCATTTTCTGCAAACTTGTTATCTGCATAATGCATGTTAATGAATCTTCCTGCAATCCCAATGGCACATCCTTCTTCAGCTTACATTCTTCTTCTTCATATAGTTCCGCTTTTCAAATTATTTACTCTTCATACAGATTTATGAAGTATGCCAAAAGAATAACACCCTATCATGCACTTTCCTTATGTTAAACCATGCAGTGTTCTCTTTTCAGTTCTAACAACTGCTTCTTGATGTACAGGTTTCTCATGAACACTATTAAGTATTTTAGAATTCCTTTTCTTTTCAATGTTATCCATACTTTATTTGGACATACATACTCAAATGCCTTTGCATAGTTGATAAACACAAGTAAACATCTTTAGTAAGTTGAAAATGCCCTCTCACTTATTGAAGGTTCACATTGGATAATGACTTATGAAAGGTATGGATAAGCTTTAGAAAATAATATTTTGAAACTTTGAATATCCCAAAATAGAATTTTTATGAGTATTTGTATTGCTTTTATTATTAAAACTACATTTCAATATAATACACATATTCATAAATAATTTAAAAATAAAAAGCAAAGTTTTCTTTAATGAATAACAGTAAAAAAAGGAAAGAATGCTTGTGATAGAGAGTTTGACTGCTTAGCTATCACATCATTTTCTCATGGAACAGCTGGTGGGTTTGAACTGAAATGTTCAAAAATATTAATGGTTTGAGTCAACCAGTAATTCCATGAGAAAATAATATGATATTCTGGGCAAAAGTTCCTATTGTTTTTATGTGCTATTGAGTCAGAACTAATTAATAGCTAATACTTCAGCATGTTCTCATATTCAGTAAATCACTCAGAAGGAGATTGTCCATCATGTTGTCAAAGGGCAGCTATTGTAGTTAAACTAGTTTC